TTTTACATGCTGCAACGCAAACATTTCCCAAACTGGAATCAATAAAGTACCTATCAATCTATCTATCAGGCCCTTTGTTGTTTTTATTTGAGGACAAGTCTATGAATCATTTTAATTTGAGATTGACAATAAAAAAACATTTAACCAACAACATCTGGTTTTGTGTTCCTTTCCCCAAAAGAGCTGGGACGTAACATCCAGGTTACAAAAACCCAGAATGTCTTACACAGTACTTTGCATAAATGTTTACAAGGTGCCTCACAGTTTTATAATCGGATGAATGTACATTGGAATCTAAATAACCAGATACTTTAAACTTAGTCAGCAAAGAAACCTTTATTTACAGGTCAGATTAACTTGAAGAGACAAATTAGACACATGTGGAAGTCATTATATAACACATGTGTGACAAGGACAGTCCCAAAATGATGTGTGTTGGATTTAGTTGACGGATGTGTAAAATAATCAGAAAGAATACAAAAGCAACACTTTAAATCTACCAGATATGCACTTTTCAAATTAAGTTATTCAGCATGAAAACAATCTTTTAAAAAATAAATAATCGTCTGAAGAAATACCAAAATGAACAATTAGGAAACGTATCAACTAACAGGAAGCCGCCCTATCACTGACAGGGCATTCTGCAACAAATCAAGCTTACATTTTAATCTCGAATCACACATTTTGGATTAGAACACTAACATGTTTCCGCTGTAAACTGACAGGTGAGCTAACCAGAGATTAGTCAGTCTCCAATTTAAGATTGATAAAACTGACTTTGCATTCACTGAAAGAAAATGAAATTGTCCCCTTTAAGCTCGACTTCCAGCCTCATGAGTCTGAATCTGAGTCGCTGTAGTCGGCCATGATGGATGTGAGCGCTCCTAAACTCCTGCCTCGCTCCTTCTCCTTCCCAGAATCCTTTGTGGTTGTCACTCCTTCCTCTGTGGTCTTAACATGTGTCTCTCTGGAGCCATTAGTCTCTGTCACATCCTGACTCATTTCTGTTGGGCTTATACTCGGCGTTTCGTCTCCTTCACACGTGTTGATCTCAGGGTATGAGTTTCTGCGCGTGGCGGTGGCACAGGGTTCAGTTCTGGGTCCCGGTCCTGCGGAGCGTCTGCGGATCAGCGCGCTCTGAGAGGAGCTCAGGGCTTTGGCCACGGCCGCCTCCTTCCCCTGCAGACCCAGCTTATGGAGCAGATTTCCTGCAGGACTTCCTGGTGTCGGAGAAGGGGAGGTGAACCACGAGCGAGAGGAGATCTCTTTCCTCTTGATGTGCTGCTTGTCGTCATAGGCTGAGGAGGGAGGGGGAAACAGAGGAAGAGATTTTAACAGGAGTCTTAATATTAAAGGTCACATATTAAATCCTCTTCTTCATGTCTCTTCTACATCAACATGTGTCCCCTCTTCTTCATGTCTCTTCTACATCAACATGTGTCCCCTCTTCTTCATGTCTCTTCTACATCAGCATGTGTCCCCTCTTCTTCATGTCTCTTCTACATCAACATGTGTCCCCTCTTCTTCATCAGCATGTGTCCCCTCTTCTTCATGTCTCTTCTACATCAACATGTGTCCCCTCTTCTTCATGTCTCTTCTACATCAGCATGTGTCCCCTCTTCTTCATGTCTCTTCTACATCAACATGTGTCCCCTCTTCTTCATGTCTCTTCTACATCAACATGTGTCCCCTCTTCTTCATGTCTCTTCTACATCAACATGTGTCCCCTCTTCTTCATGTCTCTTCTACATCAACATGTGTCCCCTCTTCTCATGTCTCTTCTACATCAACATGTGTCCCCTCTTCTTCATGTCTCTTCTACATCAACATGTGTCCCCTCTTCTTCATGTCTCTTCTACATCAACATGTGTCCCCTCTTCTTCATGTCTCTTCTACATCAACATGTGTCCCCCTCTTCTCATGTCTCTTCTACATCAACATGTGTTCCCTCTTCTTCATGTCTCTTCTACATCAACATGTGTCCCCTCTTCTTCATGTCTCTTCTACATCAACATGTGTCCCCTCTTCTTCATGTCTCTTCTACATCAACATGTGTCCCCTCTTCTTCATGTCTCTTCTACATCAACATGTGTCCCCTCTTCTTCATGTCTCTTCTACATCAACATGTGTCCCCTCTTCTTCATGTCTCTTCTACATCAACATGTGTCCCCTCTTCTTCATGTCTCTTCTACATCAACATGTGTCCCCTCTTCTTCATGTCTCTTCTACATCAACATGTGTCCCCTCTTCTTCATGTCTCTTCTACATCAACATGTGTCCCCTCTTCTTCATGTCTCTTCTACATCAACATGTGTCCCTCTTCTTCATGTCTCTTCTACATCAACATGTGTCCCCTCTTCTTCATGTCTCTTCTACATCAACATGTGTCCCCTCTTCTTCATGTCTCTTCTACATCAACATGTGTCCCCTCTTCTCCATGTCTCTTCTACATCAACATGTGTCCCCTCTTCTTCATG